AAGCAGGTAGCGTTGTTTTCTCCAAAATATTAATTTATTAAACTTGTAAGGCACTCAGCTCTCAACAACTCCGAGCGGCTTACAACTATGAAACAAATTACAATAAAACATAAAAATAAAAAGCATTGTTTAAAACACTGAGAGAATAGGGAGGGAATCAAATATTAGAAAAATAGACATATGTATTCTAGTAAGGGAATGTGATTCACGTATTAGTTTTTTTTAATGGATCCCAAATTTCTTAAGCAAAACTGAAGATTTGAAAAAAAAAAAAGGCAAGATGGTGTTAAAAGATGCATTCTCTAGAGCCATTTCTGTACTTGGGTGCTTTCCAAATATGTTGGATTTCAATTTCCATCATTCCCATAAAATCCTAGATCCAGCCTGCATGGCTCTGCTCACCCATGCCTGGAGGGTCCCTGGCTGAGGATGACTGCTCCTGAGAATGATAGAAAATGTATAGAAAACCCCACTGTATCTGTGGAACCACCAAAAAATAAAATCACCAATACCCCTTGCTTTTTGGCCAAACTGTTGATGCGCATTTTGAAAAGATTACAAACACTAGCAGCTGCAAATATATTTATTAAACTTACAAATGTTACAGCTGAAGTAAATGCAGCAAGATTAAGGGAAGGTTTATGGCTATAGCAATTCATCAGACAGAGGCTCAATATTAGAAATTGCTGAGTGAAGCCTCCTTATCAAAAGCAGTATATCTTTGAATGTCTGGTCCATGCTCCTAAAAAAAAAAAAAGATACCGCTTTGCCCTTATGCTTTTTTGTCTGTCGGAGACACAAAACGTTAGATTATACTTAGGAAAGCAAGGATCTTCAACCTACCGTATGAGGAGGCACACTTGGAATTTTAAGAACATGCTGGGGGCCTTCAATTCACTGCCATAATGCCAGGCTGTTTTTTACCAACACAGTGGCAGGCACCACCTCTTAGAAACACAGCCCCCAGTTTCCAAAAGGCAAACCGGTGAGTTGGTCCTTCCTCGGTTCATTTTTTTCTTTTATTCTGAGCAGTTGGGCACCCTTCCAAGCAGAGCCCACTGCTTTTTGATTTCCTAAGAACTCCCAAGGAGCCAGTACAGGGTCATCACCGGAAACCCAAAGGATGTGAGAGGCTGGCATTTGGTTTTGAAGCACACCCGTTTCCCATTTTCCTTTTTTTAATGGAAAGAATCTAAATTCTGCAGGGATCTGGCAGGTGCCCAAGGGAGTGTTTGCTACCTTGCTGTCCATGGGCACCACGCCCGGGGATTCCAGAGATGGTCCACTGGTAATTATGATAGCTGCTTTGCGGGCAAGATGCGGGGCGAGCATCCTGAAGGCCCCATGCATCCTCATGAGTTTAGGTGGGGCCCAGCCCCATTAGATTACCCCACACTGTAGTAAGCGGCAGGCACCAGCGCACTGTACCGTTTTAAAAGAGGGGGCGGCAACACGGGATTTTAGAGCCTAAAACGGCCTCCCTGCTGCATCGACAAGCGCCCGCTCCACATGTATCAGATTCGGAAGAGCTGCAGCATCAACCGTTCCCCAAAAGGCCGGATTTCAACCATGCGCAGGGCGGCCTCCGGGTCTCACCGCCCGAAAGGCTGATGTCGGCTGTTCGGTCTCTTAATGCCCGCGGGACCTCCTCGCCCAGGCGAGCGCCCTCCGGATGCGTTGGGCCAGCTCCCCGCGTCCCGCACCCAGCGCGGCCACGGGGCAGTCG